TGAATGTAAATTACATATTACTAATGTAGAAAAGATATCAGAAATAACCACTTATTCTACCATTGATTCTTCTGCATATGAACAGAAAAATCAGCATCTTCCACATTGAATGTGTATATACGTAGAAGAACTGGACAAGGCCGATCATTGGCAACCAGGCTGTTCAGGTGGAAAGAGTGTCTGTCTTGAGTTCTGAGGCCTCTGGTTTGAATTCCAGTCTGTCCTTACATTTTGTCCTGTCCTGTTACAATGTTGCATGTGACCTACATGTAGCTGCTACCAATTACCCTTATTTCAAGTACTGGGTGTATAATATATCTGCTTGGCAAGGGGCTACCTAAACCTCAGTTATATATATATATAGTATTGTCTTCAGAGGCAAAGACTAAAAGGAAGAAGGAATATAGCAGAAATGGTCTGGGTCAACTGCTGGCAATAAGATAGCTCAATTGGTCAGAGCACCTGTCTAAAGTTTGGAGGTCCTGGGTTGCAATCCCAGTCTGGCTATGTCCTCTCCTGTTACAAATGCAACCATTAGAAAATAGCCTGCTCTGATTGACCAACACTGAAATTGAATTTAAGTAAAATCTTCACTAACATTTTGTATGTCTTTACTATACTCAAGCCTGAAGTTTCATCAAATTGATAATTTCTGATATAACGCTGGCCAAAAATGTAATAAATTGATTTTATAATATAAATAAATATTTGAATCAACATTTTTGTACAATCTTAGTTAAATATCAACAAATTGAATTGATTCTGACTAATAATAATTCTGTTATTTTAAAATAGCTGGCCTTCATGAAATGTACGTGTTACCCAACGAAAAGGATACTTAAAACTTTGGTACTTGCATTGTTAGACTATGTGTGAAGGATTTTTTATTTTTTATTTTGACATTTGCAAAATATCAAATAGGTATATTTAAACAATAACTGGTTGTCTGTATGTAATTATTGTTGATATAATTACAAGTGGCCTCTGGCAAATCCCATAAAACCCGCTAGATTTGCCAGAGGCCACTTGTAATTATATCAACAATAATTACATCCAGACAACCAGGTATTTTTTATATTTACATATTTTTCTTTTTTAAGACATATTCCTACAAAAACCATTTGCCCTGCCTCAAAATACATTTCAGGCGGCCATTTTGTTTGTTTACATATATCCTACACCTGAAACAGCTGGCAGTTGTAATTATAGTCGAGCAGTTGTAATTATAGCCTATATAATTACACTTGCCCTCTAACACTGTTGTAATGGGACGGCGCGGGGGCAAATGTAAATATATATGTATACATTATGTAAATTATAAGCAGCAAGCATTGTTGCAAATTGTTAGCAGATTTTGTACATGAAAGAATTGCAACACATCTTTGTATTTTTTTGTATCTTCTAATTATACACAGCATCCAGGCTATTTATTGGCAGCAGCTGAAAACGATAAAATCTCCAATGCTGAAATATGGGATTTCAATTAAAATTAAGGTAGAGCTGCAAGTATTGCTGGCTAGGATATAGCTACACACATTTTCTCTTCAGTAACTTTACCAGTACATAATGACGTCAATGGTTCTAAAAATAGTAAAAATTTAGAGCTCTGGGATGTTTTATCTCTCCTGCAGAACCAGTTTGTTTTGGTACAACACATGCACATATACAATAACAACATAACATGAATTTCTCCACCAACATTATATAAATGTTTTTGTTTACATTTATAAGCTGTGATAATGTACGTATGACATTTGTACATGTTTTTTGCATTGATTCTCAACACATTTCACCAATTAGATTTCTGTACTCTTTTTGTGAGTTAGTGTAAGTGTCTTTGATGATGATGATGACGAGGAGGATTTTTGCGAGTTAGTGTGAGTGTTTCCTTGTGTTAGTGTGAGTGTCTTTGTCTTATTATCTGTAATTGACATAAGTTGTAAAACTGGAGCAAATATAGAACTGAACTCTTGATCTACCTCCCTATGTCAAAATGGTAAATATCAATTCCATTCAATTTTTGAAGCCAAAATGATTTTTAATTGTACATATATAACTTTCTTAAAATAAAATAAAAAAAACATCCAAAAGACAAAAGACAAATAACAAATGTCCATACTTGCCAACTAAGGAGAGTTTGGACCCTAAAATTGTGCATTTTCATCCAGAGATTTTGCTAAACTATTCCTTTTTTCTATGATCTGATAAAATAACTCAAAAGATGCCATTTAAAAAAGATATATTACATCCCCGAACATGTGTAATCTCCCCATGGATATAATAAATCGACAATTTTGAATGTCAAGTTGTTAGGGATTAACTAACCCTTGTCTCAAATCCCAGATGAACTGGACATAAAGTATATCTGTACAACTTTTACATGCATGAAGTATTTCTGATGAAACCTGCATAAAATAAACCGGACAGGTCAGTAAGGGCACCACCATATACCTTACCATATAATACCTCCATGGTCTATTTTTAGAAACAGTGACATTGATCTTAGAAATTTAGTCTTTTGGATTCTGAAACTATCTTTGGACCTGAAAGTGTGGTCAGATAGCATGGCATCTAGTTACAGGCACCCACATCTTCAGTGCAGGCCAGCCCCAGCCCCTCATTATAAAATTGTTACTGAAGATCACAGGATGTGTAAATGAGATAAGCACAAACAAAGTAATTCAGTGAACAAATGGCTATAACTCTGTATATAATTGTGCAAGATATCTAATCCATCACCCCAAAAGGTAATGGAATACGAAATTTTACAGATGTTAGTGACGAGAATAATTAATTAGACGTGGCCCAGAAAAGTGACATACTGACTGATTAAAGGACGACTTGCAATCCTTAAGTCTGATTCAATAGTATCAGTGCATGTGGAAGACTCAAATTTGTTTTTTTAAATTGAATCATATTGATCACAATCATAACTACATTTTTTTAGTTGGTCAATCATGTGAAACTGCATGACTGATTTCTCTCATATTGGGAAACATTTCTATTGAAATCAATAAATGTATCTTAATTTAATTGCATGGTCCATGCAGGCCAATGTGAATCTGATGTAACAGTGTTAATTACAACATTGCAAACAATATTTATACAATGGCCAATTATAAACACATTGAACAGGTGGGTTTGAAAAATCATTTAAATCCTCAAACATAAATAAATCCTCAAACATAAATACATGTAAAAGAAAATTGTGCATTGATTGGCTTCAAGCGGCAACTGTATGGAATTTCCGTTTAGCTCAGCAGTAGAGCATCAGAGATAAGTCACACTGTGATAAACTAGTATCGATATACTGAACTGCTATGGGCTGGATCAAGTCAACACATTACCAACGCGTCAAGATAGGACCCTGAAGCCTTCGACAAAGTTCCACACACACGTTTGTCAAAGAAACTTCAATACTATGGGATACAGGGAACAATGCAGAGATGGTTAACAACTTCTTGAAAGACTGCAACAACAAGTAGTAGTCGACAATGCAACATCTTGCACAACACCAGTATACGTAACATCTGAGGTCCCTCAGGGAACTGTGCTTGGGCGGACACTATTCCTTATCTTCATTAACGACATTGCAGACAACATCACTTCTTCAATCAGATTATTCGCAGACAACCGAGTCATCTACACACCCGTACTTTACCAACAAGACCATGAACAACTGCAGAAGGACCTGAACACGCTAGTAGACTGGAGCAACAACTGGCAAATGGAGTTTTACGTTAAGAAATGCGCCATCATGCAGTTTGGAATTTCAACAAGAAAGAGAGCCTTCAATTACATCATGAAAGGGAAGCCACTTGAGATAGTAGATCACCATCCATATCTAGGCGTTGAACTCGGTGATAACTTGAAGTACAACCTACACATTGATAACATCTGCAAGAAAGCCTCCAGTGTATTGGGATTCCTAAAGCGTAACCTTCAACATTGGCCACCAAAGGTCAAGGAGAGAGCATATCAGAGCTTAGTAAGACCAAAGCTAGAGTATGCAACACCAAAATGGAATCCACAACAGAAAACACAACAAAAACGGATCTTAAGATAGAGCAAGTGCAACGCACCGCAGCAAGATTCTTTAACAACAAACCAGAAAAACCTGACAGCGTAACATCTATGTTACATGAACTGAAATGGAACACCTTAGAACAAAGACGTGTTTGGACCGACACAACACTCATGCACAAAGTATAGTCAACCAATTTATAGCAGTCCCAACAGCATATCAACCTCCTCTGGCAGTAGTACGAGGAACTAGAAACAGTCACTGCTTGAAGTTTGTACCATACCATTGCCGAAATAACGTTTATCGACACTCATTCTTTCGCCAATCTGCAAGAACCTTTTACCTGAATCAGTTGTACTATCACCATCATTGGAGGCATTCAAAACATACATCCAGACCCTCCAACCCTGGTCCACACACCCTACCTACTAGATTCCAGCAGTGACCTGAACAGTATAAATATGTTATGGTTTATATAATTAACCATTTTTAAATTTTGGACACTGCCATTTCACAATGTGCATGTAAATAGTTTCCTCATCAGTAAATGTCTGCGATGATTTTGATGAGTACTCTAATTGAAGTTGAAGGCTGAAGATTCAAGGGTTGCAGGTTAGAGCCCCAGCAACGGCACTATCTTTCACTATACCTCATCTTATTATATATATATATTAACTAGAATATAACGTTATATGGCAAAATAATATAATATAATATTACTGTTTAACATGTTCTTGTGAGGGCACATGCATGTGAATTTAGTTCAGTATCAGTGTAGGTAAAAGTAAAAGTAGGGGTGTGGTTTTAAGGGCTAACAGGTTATTCTGTGAGCGTAAATTAAACAACATGTTAGATGGGACATGAATCAGAACTAAACGTCACACATAACCACCTTCCCAACACTGCCCAGTAACGTTGTTTTAGTTTTGGTATTGTAATGGCATTGCATGCATACACTGGAGTAGATTCTACTTACCAAATTCCAACAAATCTTTCAACGAAACTGGTGATGGACTAAACGACGCATATCTGTCAAAAGCCTTTTTGTTGGCCATAAAAAATCTTAATGTTAAACGCATTTCGGAGAGAGGTTGAGTTTATATGAATTTCGGGCTTTTCAGAGGATACTGGTTGCCGACCAATTCTCAACCAGTACTGTAGGCCTAATATGGATAATGTGTATGATGGCATTCATCAGAGATGTTGTTTTCCTGTCAGGCACTGGTTAGTTTGTCACGTCAGACAAGTTCACCTTCAACTATCATTCCAACTTGAATAAACGAATCTGGAGTTGTTATGTCCATGTAGAAAACTATGTGTAACAACTTTGATCTGAAAACACCAAAACAAGTAATATCCGTATCTTTTGCTAATCGAGATTTTAACCTTTGTACCGAATGTGTTTTTCCGTGTGTTCACACAATAAAATACCCAATAAATAATTGACCCCCCTCAAAACCAAATCATGGGGAAAAAGGCGATACCAGCATATTTTAATCGTTAACATGTACATAATTCTATTTTATGTAATATCTATCGTGAGATAATCAACATTAGGACGGATAAGAAAATATCTGAGCAGGTGATGTTTTTGTTGTTAAAGTTTTTCATCACGGATGTTTTCATTGGTGCATAACTGACACACCTCCAATGGAAAACAAATCAAACACACCTTAGAAATCCACTGTTTATTGATATTTGAAGATAACTTACAAATATCCTATGTGTGTTTCATAAGACCAACGATAATGCACTATGCAACAAAACGTTATATTCCTCTGTGTAATAATGTTGATCAGCTGAGTATGCAGTGTGCGGCTGGGTTTCCATTGCGGATAGGAGCCAAGTCACGCAAGCACGATTACGGACGTAAACAACAACCTTCTTACTTACCGAAATCGAGAAATAATTTCATGGACACTGGCCTGGGAGTATACTGCGAATACAGATCCAGAATTTTTTTAGTCCTTGTTACGTTTTTTAAAGTCTTCATTTTTGTTGCCATGCTTTTTCTCCAGGAATAAAAACAACACGTCAAGTCATTCCGATACAGATGTTGTTCCAGCATGTGACGTCACGGCGAATGAGAAATCACGTGATCGCTTATGGAAATTTTATCATGCAAGTGGTTCTGTTATGACACCGATATTTTGACACCTTATTAACGTTAGATATAACCTTACATATTTAAAATCTTTTAATGACATGTTAATACATATTCCTTAATAAACTGGACCCAGGATTATGAAACAAACCCACAATATACTAACGTTTAAAAATCGATGACGGTTTTACCTATTAATTGTTTATTGTTAAGTTGTTTGCTTTTACATGTACGGGCACATACAATGTATGTGACCTCTGAATCGGTATATAATACTGGAAGAAACATCGATATCGAATACATTTCCAGGGTTGGATGAGTGGCTGTGCGATTAGGAGATATATATAGAGAGAGATGACGCATATCAAACCAAACTAAAGAAACTGTACAGCTCTAAATTAACTACATATATATATATATATATATATAGTTACATAATGTACACTCGGTCATAAACCAATTAAAGCTAGCCATTGTGTGAACACACAAGAACTATTGTACAAGATACAAGATACAAGAAACTTTATTTAACGTCGCATACAGGTAAACAAGGAACATTAGCTCTTGAGAGCTATTCATTATTGCGACAAACATATGTAAAATAACAATAACATATTATATTACAAGTAAAAGGATAAAAGCAGTAACAATAATCACAGAAAAAGAAAGTATCCATATCCCAGGCTTCTAAGTGATTGGGAGTCCCCTACCTACAAAGGACCCCGGGATAGGACCCTTTTGGAACAATAAATATATAAAAATAGTGTTAATATATGAAAAGCATTAAATGTGATCACAGATAAGTAGTATTCAGAATAAGTGAATAAAAGACATAGTTACTATATCTAGTGAATGAATACTTGTATATCACACAAGAATTACTTAGGAGTTGGGATTAAAACACTATGAAGTGGAATATACATACAATGCTAATATAGCAAAGAATAAAAGTTGACAGAATATACACTATTATAGTGTCAATTAAACAAGAGGCCCAGAAGGCCTGTATCGCTCACCTGAATATTTAGGCAAACTTCGTCGGCTCCATCTGTTGAAACTACCAACCAAATATTATTATATAAACTATGCTTTTTGGTTCTTCTTCAGAAGTTGTTTGACATATTTCCCCCTGTGACCTTGAAAGTAGGTCAAGGTCATTTTCATTCTCAAACTTTGTCGGGCTCTATCCAGGAAGCCACCAGCCAAATATTCAGATTCTATATCTTTCAGTTCTTCAGAAGAAGTCGTTTGAAGTGTGTGACACATTTGACCTCTGTGACCTTGAAAGAAAGTCAAGGTCATTTTCATTCTAAAACTTGGTCAGGCTCTATCCCATAGGCAACCAGCCAAATATGAAGGTTCTATACCTTTCAGTTCTTCAGAAGAAGTCGTTTGAAGTGTTTGACACATTTGACCCCTGTGACCTTGAAAGTAGGTCAAGGTCATTTTCATTCTCAAACTTTGTCAGACTCTATCCAATAGACAACCAGCTAAATATGAAGGTTCTATACCTTTCAGTTCTTCAGAAGAAGTCGTTTGAACTGTTTGACACATTTGACCCCTGTGACCTTGAAAGTGGGTCAAGGTCATTTTCGGTCTGAAACTTTGTCGGTCTCCAAATATCATGGCTCTAGGCCTGTCCGTTCTTCAGAAGAAGTTTTGGTCTCTGAAAACCATTTCACATTTATAATATATTTTATTTCTTCGTATCCCTGTGTTTCTATCACAGTATTTTTCCTGAGCGATAAGTGTGTTATAAATATATGTGTTCTAAAAGTAACTGACGTTTCAATAGCCTAGGGTAGGAACACATTTGGTTCCAAGTTATTAATTATACCTATTCCAATTAATATGAATCAATTTCATAAAATAAAACTAAATATTACAGTTTTATGACACTTAGCCAAACTTGCGTTATATGGAACCTACCTGATAAAATAGTACAATTAAATGAGAATGTATAAGTCCCTGGGGCGAAAACGTGTTTTTGTCAATACCAGGGGAACTAACTCCTGCTATCTTAGCTCAAAAGGGTGGTTGTACTAATCTACTAACATTCACCGAGCAGTGAGGCGAAACTATTTTAGAAGAAATCGTTTACATTTTTAGAAATAAAATCATGCAGGAAAGCGATATTAATTATTTATAGTATCTACAAATTTTTAAGACAAGTTTTTCTTCAAATTATTTTCATACGAGTTCTATATATATCTTCGTACCGTTTCTCATTAAAACGTGTTTTATATATCATATTTTATATATTCATCCGGTTGAAAAGATGTCAATTTGTTCCCAAAAAATCCGATGAATGTGATGTATATACAAAAACCTAACCTAGAACAACCGAATACTTTTACAGCACCTTGAAATTTTGAAGTCGATTTAGGCTTATGATGAACGTATTTTCTCGTTGTATATTTCTAAACGATAAAACATATGGAATACTAGCTTTATATTTATTAATAAGATATTTAAGAAAGGATATAACACATCTTATGTACTAAAGAAATATAATATATTATACAGATAGTATGAGGCAGTTTGGAATTATAATTAAGCCAAAAATCATCATGTGTAATGCTTTCTCGTCAAAGGAAAGATCTCATATGAACCCACAATTGTGAATCTCTTATTTGTGTGCTTCTATTGTATTACAGTGGATAAGTACAATTTTCTTTGTTTGGTTTTATTGTGTGCTGGAGACGGTATGTTGGTGTATTTGCCTCCCTGCGATAGCGCGGATCTGATGCTGAATTTATATATTTTAGTGTTAACTTACTGAAATACCATATCGAAGGAACACAGCATACAGCGGTTACATTATACTGACAATGGGTTAACCACAGGTACAAGCCTCGTCTGTTTATATCATATGTGTATTGACAGACGAGGCTAGTACCTGTGGGTTGACCAGTTGTTGCCCTGAATGCTAAACGTTTAACAGAGAATAACAACGACCATTAACAAATGTACTCTATGTAGAAAGCTTTTAAATTATTTTACAATTTAAACTGTAAATTATTAAGTACATTGTCCATTCAAGGCGGGTGGTCGGGTGGTGCAGTGTAGAGCGCACTTGCCTTTTCACCAAGGAGGCCGGGGTTCGATTCCCCAATCGGACTTGAAAAGGTAGCGGGTCACCTGCCCGACCACGTGGGGTTTTTCCGGGTACTCCGGTTTCCTCCCACAATAAGGCCCCATAAGACGCGCTAACATCCGAGCCAACAAGAGTGATTAATATAAGTTGAAATAACTTGTTTCATAATTGTTGTAAAAATCTCACCGTTGTTTTGGTGTTTCTTAGTCCATGTTATCTCCTCCTTGTTTTGGTTTTTCTTAGTCCATATCATTTCCTCGTTGTTTTGATTGTTCTTAGTCCATGTTATCTCTTCGATGGTTTGGGTTTTCTTAGTCAATGTTATTTCCTCGTTGTTTTGGGTTTTCTTAGTCCATGTTATCTCCTCGTTGTTTTGGTGTTTTTAATTCCATGTTATCCCCTCGTTGTTTTGATTTTTCTTAGTCAATGTTATCTCCTCCTTGTTTTGGTTTTTCTTAGTCCATATTATTTCCTCGTTGTTTTGATTTTTCTTAGTCCATGTAATCTCTTCGATGTTTTGGGTTTTCTTGGTCCATGTTATTTCCTCGTTGTTTTGGGTTTTCTTAGTCCATGTTATCTACTCGTTGTTTTGGTGTTTTTAAGTCCATGTTATCCCTTCGTTGTTTTGATTTTTCTTAGTCAATGTTATCTCCTCGATGTTTTGGGTTTTCTTAGTCCATGTTATCTCCTCGTTGTTTTGATTTTTCCTTAGTCCATGGTTTCTTCTTGTTGTTTTTGGTGTTTTTAAGTCCATGTTATCTCCTCGTTGTTTTGGGTTTTCTTAGTCCATGTTATTTCCTCGTTGTTTTAATTTTTCCACTGTCCATGGTTTCTTCTTGTTGTTTTGGTGTTTCTTAGTCCATGTTATCTCATTTTTTTGTCTCGTTAGTCCATGTTACCCTCCTTTTTTGTCTCCTGAGTCCATGTTACTCTCCTTTTTTTGTCCCGTTAGTCCATGCTACCCTCCTTTGTTTGTCTCGTTAGTCCATGTTACCCTCCTTTTTTGTCCCGTTAGTCCATGTTACCCTCCTTTTTTTGTCTCGTTAGTCCATGTTACCCTCCTTTTTTGTCTCCTGAGTCCATGTTACTCTCCTTTTTTTGTCCCGTTAGTCCATGCTTCCCTCCTTTGTTTGTCTCGTTAGTCCATGTTCCCCTCCTTTTTTGTCCCGTTAGTCCATGTTACCCTCCTTTTTTGTCCCGTTAGTCCACGTTACCCTCCCTTTTTTTGTCTGGTTAGTCCATTTTACTCTCCTTTTTTTGTCTCGTTAGTCCATGTTACCCTTCTTTTTTTGTCTCGTTAGTCCATGTTACCCTCCTTTTTTTGTCTCCTTAGTCCATGTTACCCTCCTTTTTTGTCTCGTTGGTCCATGTTACCCTCCTTTTTTGTCTCGTTAGTCCATGTTTCCCTCCTTTTTTTGTCTCCTTAGTCCATGTTACCCTCCTTTTTTTGTCTCGTTAGTCCATGTTATTCTCCTTTTTTGTCTCGTTAGTATACAGTTAAAGTATAGGGTTGAGGGGTATAGCAAGTTTCTGGTGTCCCTTGACCATGCCTATTTCCCGAGGCGAAAACCATGCCTATTTCCCCAGGCTTCGCCTCGGGAAATAGGCATGGTCAAGGGACACCAGAAACTTGCTATATGCCTCAATCCCTTACTTTAACCGTTTTATTATACCGATACACACTGGAGAGATAGTTTTAGCTAGAAAATATTTGTAAACCATAAGCCTCCCACCATATTTTCTCTTTTCATACCATGATATCTTTAGTGTCTTCATATGCCACGCTGTCTCAATTTTGTGATGTGATGTCATTGACTAATGTTGCTTTCTATGTTTGTTTGTTAGAAAATATTTGTAAACCATAAGCTGTTTAGCTTCACGTCCCAACTACTTTGCCTTTTGATGGCAATGGAGCCAAATGCTTCCGAGTTCGGCAGGAAAGCGCCCACCTCGCGCGTCACTGCCGATTTCGGTAACAAGCTCCTCCCACCTCTCGCCTGATTGGCTCGGCGGAAACAGCCGAGTGTAGGTGTGTTTTAGTTTCCAGACTAACACACAGGACTTAAACACTCAGGCAAAAGTGGGGATATATTCGATTTAACCAATTACTTTTGTATAGAGTAAATAAAGTAGAGGTGTAATAATCCATGTTATCCTCCTTTAAGTTTGGGCCTCCTTGGTTGACGTTGGCTCTGTTTTTATGCTATTTCCTCAGTCCATGTTGTACCTTATATTCTTTTAGTTTCTCTCTTTTGTTTTCGCATTTCCATATTTTCTCTTTTCATACCATGATATCTTTAGTGTCTTCATATGCCACGCTGTCTCAATTTTGTGATGTGATGTCATTGACTAATGTTGCTTTCTATGTTTGTTCTGATGTGTCGCCTGCCGTATTTTGATGAGTCATATAAGTTTTTATTATTTTTCATATTATTCCCGACAAGTGATTGGCCAGGAGTGCATCACGTGTCCATCGTAAAACCGATATTGCGTGATTTTTGTTAAAGGACTGGGTGTTTCCAAAAAAAAGAATTATGACGTGTCTCCAAACAATGCACCGTCCCACTTCCGAAGCATTTTTGTTGTGTTTTTCTCAGATTGCTTACATTTCTGTTTTGTAAAATAATAAAACAATTGTAGCCTTTAACTTCGGGAAATACCTAGATTTATCGACCCGAGAAAAAAATATCGACCTCGGACTGCGTCCTCGTCAATATATCTTTTCTCGGGTTGATAAATCCAGGTATCGACCTCAGCCAAAGGCTATAATTGAATAATATCATATTAAATATTAAATATCGACCTCGGACTGCGTCCTCGTCAATATATCTTTTCTCGGGTTGATAAATCCAGGTATCGACCTCAGCCAAAGGCTATAATTGAATAATATCATTTTCTGGTTTTGTTTTTGTGTCTCATTTGTTCGCAGTTTTCTATTGTTTTCTTTTGTTGTCTTTCTGTATTCCCATTACCTCCTTTATGCTTTAGCGTTTTCCCAGTTCATATTGTGTGAACAAACACGGAATTTGTCAAAGTATTAATTAGTATACTATCAATCACTTTAGCAGGATTCATTTTCTTGAATATATCGAATAATATCGCAGATTTGCATTCATGTATATGTTGATAAAAAGATTTCACACGAATTCAAATTATATAACTTTCTTTACAAGAAAAAAATTCAATGTGTTTCAACTAATATTTCACGGAAATTAAATAATTCACAGTACGCAAAGAAAAAACACTCTAATTTCTTTGTATTTTTCATTTTACTTTTTTCTATAGTCTACATTATATAAGATATTAGTTTTACAGTACTGACCACAAAACGCGTGGTGTCAGACATCATTACTAACACCTCTGAATATCAATGATCTAGTTAGGCGAAGTCTAGCAACAATAGTAACACTAACACAACCTTATAACATTATCACGTTAACACCACTGTTTTACAATAAGAAAACATTCATTCTCAAACATAACATTAACATATGTATCTTGCAATAATAATATGACATCATTAACGATGTTAATAGTTAAAGACGAACATAACATAGACACATACGCGACTGCACCTTGAGGTTATAAATTCAGCATGCCAAAAGTGAAACATTGCACCATACAGCTGTTTCGTCCTTCTAGGACTCATCGGTGATGCCTGGGGCCAAACACTGGAAATCTAAATTGTATAAGCTACTGTTGAAAAGGAGGACAGGTGCGTAAATCCCCTGAAGGCTGGAGTCCAACTATCCCGGAAACTAGCTGGATGATAAATCTGGAGTCCAACTATCCCGGAAACTATCTGGATGATAAATCTGGAGTCCAACTATCCCGGAAACTATCTGGATGATAAATCTGGAGTCCAACTATACCGAAAACTATCTGGATGATAAATCTGGAGTCCAACTATCCCGAAAACTATCTGGATGATAAATCTGGAGTCCAACTATCCTGAAAACTATCTGGATGTTAGCGGAAATGAAATTGTTCCGAGTTTATCGTGGTTCCACAATTTATTTTCTTCAATACCTAGAGATGAAGGAGAGGATAAATATGTCTTGCATCTCGCGATTCCTATATCATGCATCATGTGACAACAATCAAATAACGTTACATAAACATTTTTATGACGTCATACTTAGGAATGAACGAATTCATCTAGCATCGCTTTATGGATCATATTTTCTTAAAAACAGACGAAAACAATTTGAAATAATTTCCAATTTCATATATAAATTTTGCAAAGATCGTTAATTCTTTCGCCTAATCCCTAGAGTTATGGGACTTTGACTAATCCGATGATGGAAAATCCCGAAGTATGAATAATTCCTATGATATAAAGGATCCCAAGTGAATTACCATTAGGTACGATATATATTGGTTAACAAACATACAATTAAACAAACTAGGATTTAATATACAAGCTGAGAAGTTAACTAATGTAACAAATTACGAACGTCCACATTTATAATCTCAACCTACAGTTTCATAACTTTATATTGCTGTGTTGTGTTAAATATGTCAGTTCGTTCAGTTATAATTAGTGGTATTGTCAACTTAACGTACATTGTATTGTTGCAGTTTCGTTTTAAAAATACACATGCTCCACACTGGAAGCTGGAATTTCGTAAGCTTCTTTTGAAAAGCCTTGTCGACATTTCCCTGACGCCCTGTTCACAACTCAATATAGAAAGACATGGTAGTTAGTTGATACAAAACAATCTGATTATAATAATAGAATAAATATTACAAATCTTTTTGATCAAGTAGACCAATCATTCTACACAATTCCTTATTCAGGATAGTGTTTATTTGCTTCAACGATATGGGCTTTAAAACACATAAATAGATTTAAGAAGATTTTTTTATAACTTCATGGTACTACTCTTGTAAATAAAGTAACTATTAAGCATTTTGTCAAAATCACAAGATTCGCTGTTGATATCTTTCCTCAAGGGAAAAATCAAGTTAATTTCGATTTGTGGCTTAAATCTACGTGATATCAAAGCCCTGTTAAACGCCAAGAAGCAAGCACACGTTACCTCCCCGACACGCACATTAAAGTGTCAAGTTCACATATTTTCCGTCCACGTTCGTGCTAATTTACTACCATTAGTAGTGTTAAGGACCACTGTCCCAGTGCACTGTTTTTTATACTCGGTAACCAATCCCCTTATTTTCGTTTTGAATAAAACTCAACACACTTGTGCTAGATCAATCCCGTTGACCCGGTAGCTGGATCGGTTGGAATGATAGTCCACAATTTGAAGTCTATGGTTCGAATCCATGTAGTCATGGTCATGTCGGAAGAACTGTTTCCAATAATTACTTACAGTCTGAGACAGTGATACATGTAACCTTAAGACTAAATATAGTTTTCTACTCTGTTTATAGTGTAGGCACGAAAGGTAGGAGGACATTTTCTCATCATTTTATAGTTACAACAAACACATACATACAAAGTACACACAAACATCCACATCCTCACATTATCATCGTTCTAGATAAAAATATCGTGCCATTTAAACAATCATTACCAAACCAATACCAAATATATCAAACCCCTTATTATAATAATATTTAGTATCTTATTGAATAGCAAATAATTTGACCCGTGCAGGTCACACAATTATCAATTTATCAGTTATTGTTCACCACAACGTCCTCTTCTAGGTTGATGAAAATATTTCGAATAAAAGACGAAATACTTTTCAAACAATAATGTCCGCATATGTTGTCATAGTAAGCACTGTTACGTGAAGTGCATACTAGTATTGCAGACTGGATAGTTTTGTTTTGCAGTGGGGTCTCTGCAGAATGTCGTATACTATAGATACTAAACACAGTCCACAAAAACGAGGAATGACACAGGACTGTTGCTTACAGTTCTAATTGTTTAAGAAGTCATTGAAATACATTTTTAGTCGTAAGTGTAACATATCCTTTGAAAGTCGTGTATTTTAAAAGTTCTCGAAGTGGTGTTCAAACTGTGCCTTGGTACCGTTGCTTGCCTCAATACAGCCCTGTTCCACACTCTTCGTCACTCCTGGGGGTCCACAACTAAACACACCCACTTTCCGGACCTGGAACAACACAAAACTCAATGTATCAATCAATATGATCGATATCAGCTTCACCCAAATGTATATTTTTATGATGAACCTGTTACTGTCAGCCGAACACATAAACATCTTGGCTTGACATTCAGTGATGATGCTAAGTGGAATGACCACATTTATGATATTTACCAAAAAGCATACAAAAGAATTAATATTTTAAGGATGATGAAACATAAACTAGACAGACAGTCATTAACCACAATGTATACATCATATATTAGACCTATACTAGAATATGCAGATGTTGTTTGGGATAATTGTTCTCAAAATCTAAAAAATCTCTTAGAGTCAGTCCAGCTAGAGGCTGCAAGAATAATTACAGGACTGCGTAGAGGCACCCCCCACAATATCTTGTACAAAGAATTAGGCTGGGTTCCTCTTGAAAGTAGGAGAAAACAACATAAAATGATGCTGATGTACAAGATTATGAATAATGAAACTCCATATTATCTGAAAGAAATCACTGAGTCACATTATCATGATCCCACACTAGCTAGATATCCCCTTAGATCAGTTAGAATATTTGATCCTCCTCTTTGTCGAACTGTTAACTATTCTAATAGCTTTTTTCCATCCATGTTTAATGAAATAAATAATATCGCTTCAGACCTTCAAAATATTCGTTCCGCCTATCAGTTCAAAAAGTTAATAACACCTATTCCAAATTCAAACACAAGAACAACTGATGTCTTTAAGTTTTTAGGAAATAGGGAAACTAATATTATTCTCTGTCAGTTGAGAAATGAGGCCAGTAACCTAAATAATGACCGTCAGAAAGATTATCTTACTGAGTCCTCTGCATGTTCTTGTGGTTCTAGATTTGAAACAGCATCTCATTACTTCCATGATTGTATCAAATACACTGAAGATCGTATTCTACTTTTTCAGAATATATTCCATGAAACTCACAACCATTTATCATTAGATGTCATGCTAAATGGTTGTGAGAGATGTGATGAAAATGAAAATAAACATATTCTCCTATCTATATCCAATTACATTTTAAGTTCTAGAAGATTCAGGACATTTAACTTCAATTTTGAATGAAATTTTACATTTTATTTATTTACACTTTATTTATTTACATTTTATTTTTTCTCAATGTAATTCTTCTGATTTCCAGAAATGGTACATGAATATTAATATTAATATTTCCTATTTGTCTTCATTGTTTATTTTTAAATATTGTTAGTGAGGGGGGCTGGGGTTCAGAAGACCAGTTATACTATTTTATTAAAAAATATTGGGAAACAACTACATAAATAAGAATATAAAGCTTTACAACATGTTAATTATATATCTAACCTGTGTTTAATATGCATAAATTAAACTATTTGGTGGGATTGAATTTCCAAACTCATCAGTGGATGGCCTTGTGTGATACAATGGACTTTTTGGCCTGTATCTGTTGGGTGCGGTAATTTAATCCCATCAAATGTTTATACATGCAGCTCCATCAACAAACTATTTTTCTTTTCTCTTCATAATATGTATATACCGGTATATATTTTATGTCTTTTCAATATCAAAATAAAAGGTTAGAATTCAAACCATTAGATTCAATTATAATAAAAATGAGTATTAGTAGTTGTTTCCCCTAATTTGATTATTAATTTGATAATACCAACTTGTTTATATGTGTTTGTATGTGTTCTATGTCTATGCTTGTACCACTGTCTGTTACTATGTTTGGAAAGGGCTTAAATAGGCTATGCCTGCTGCCCAATCCATTTGTCCTTTGACAATAAAATTTATTGAAATTGAAAAATATCAGCTTCAAGCTATAAAACTTCCATTGAAATATCACATAAACAATGACACTCCTACTTTAACAAAATCATGCGACAGGCGCTGATACAGTTACCGACTTTGGCAATAACTTGTTTCAAATTCGAATTTCTAAATATTTTCTTTCAGAAAACTTAACACTACTTAATAGAGAATAGATCCGTTCTAAACTTTCATCCCCATCCCAATTCCTAGATGCATTTCAAAAACCCAAGAAAAGATTGACTTACCATAGGGTGAGCCTTTTGTACAGCTTCGAACATCTCGTTTAACTTTGGTCGTCCAAAATGGGTGTTGGCCTTTAGTCCGGTGAACACGCTGCAGCCTCCGGACAACTTTTGAAAATGTTCCTCGCAAATGTACTGTAAATTAATCATACGTATGTTATCCTTAAACACATTGCACATATCTTTATAAACTTTTACATCATTTATTAATGTATGGCAATACTGCATCGTGTTAAAAATTACTTTACTTTAGATTAGCGTCGATGGGCCTACATGTACACCAGTGATAAGGACAGTGCTCTGGTCGCAACAGAAACAGTTCAAGGAAACGCATACTATACTGACATATCTTCGAGTTAAATGCTTTCGGGACCTATATCTTTCATCATAAGAAAAAGGTTTTCGGATTTAACAGAGACAGTTTAAATCTCTATGAATAAAGATGTAATGCCTGGATACAATTATTTCCACATTACACATGTTATGTTAAGAGAAGTCAATATGTATCCTGAAAGTTATAAAATTGACCTTACCAGCATAGACGTCCGGAGATCAAAGTTCTGGAAGAACTTGGTAATAAAGATATCAATGGAAACGATGCCTTTCTTGTCAAAAGCCTCCACCTCCCGAATGATGTCGAGGAGCCATTCAAAATGTCGCTGACTGGCAGTCACCCAAACGAAGTACAGCTGTGATACAGAAGGTGATAGTCAGCACAATCTAAATGTATCACCCATATAGTAAAACGCAGCCAAGTCGAAGATGTTAGAAATATGTAAAAGTTTGGCGACAATCAGGCTGTACGATTAATAAAATATAACCATACATGGTAATTAACTGTCAGGGGGAGGACATGTCACTTTCAGATAAATGAACAATTGAATATATCCGAGTTAACATGCATGGAATTAATCCGTCATTGGAAAAATGATATTGAACATGACTTGTCGTTAAAAGACATGTAGAGGGGAACTTAATTAATGTTCAGTCCAACGATCCGGACAGGTGTACAATTATTCCGAAATTTCTGTGTCTGAGGAATTCTGGTTTCACAGTTTATAACCTACCTTCTGGCATTTCATCCTGTAGGTATTCTTCATCATTGCCATGTGTACAAAGTCTTTGAGGATGGAGGCATATGGTGTCACACCTATCCCGGCCCCCACCAGTACAGACACGTCATACTGGTACCAGTCCTGTTGGCCGGCCCCGTACGGTCCGTCCAGGTAAAGCTGAAACAAAAATACATATCGGACCGCTCGATTGAATGATTAGTTATTTGATAATTGATTCATTAGTTGTTCGGTTGAAAGGTTGATTGATCTTAGTTTCAATCAAAATCGCAACAAAAAATGTGCTACCTTGATTGATTGAATCAAATGTTCAATCAATAAAAAGCGTTCTGTAATTTTAACAATTAGAACCTTTAATCTTAGCAGACACTAACACAAATTATAATCTCATTTAATGGGCTTGCATATTTTAATATGGATACAAAGATAAACTATATGACGTACTTTAAACACATAATGAATTATAAATAGTGTAACCTATATAGATGCCGTACTATAAAACCGTAAATTCTATTAACCAGTAAACACTGTAAACGTGTAATGTACTATGCTTACAAAAACTTCTGTAGATATAAAATGTACTTTAGATACAAGATATACCATAAATAAATAAATAAAATTTAAATACATGAAAAATGATTAATACATTATGTATTTAAGATAATGGCAATTTTAGTAAAATTAATAATAAAACGACTTTTTTTATCTATATATTGAGGAAAAATCGCGATATTACAAATATAATATATAAGAGATACCTCATTACACGCAGAAGCAATATTGATTTAGTCATTCGAGATGAAATAGGATATATATATATCCCATGTGTTTTACCTTCGGATATGGACCGTCTTTGAGATTCTCTGGGTCGAAAGTCTGTCGTATGTTCCACGTCCAGGGCCCTAATGCCCTTATATGTAAGGAGAGAGTGTCCTCGTGTGGGGCCGACGTCAGTGTAAAGGGATGATACTCGTTCCGGCCTTGCGACAGACACGCAATTTTCACCCACTGTCCAGATTTATACTCAAACTTCGATGGACGCTTGAATTCCAGGTAGGTAATATCTGGTAAGGATGTATATTACCCATTCATTATATACTTACATTTATTGTTATTATGAAACAGCAAAAGTGGATCATTATTATTATGTGGAAGCTACTGGAGCATTACCCATTCATATTGATTATGTATTTTTAACTCTATTGTGCTAGTTTCTATATTTCATTGAAAATATGAGGCCCAAGCACTGATCCTAGGGTTCCTCTCTTTTTCTTTTCACTTGTTTAAACATGTATTTGGCTTTGATATAATTCTTTTGGAACTAAGCATGTTATGCAGAATCTCTGACGAGAAAAATAATATTTTTTAATCTATACATGTATTGCACTAAATAATATTTTAATCTATACATGTATTGCACTAAATGATATTTTTCCTGTGTTTTAGTACAGTGTTTACTATACTTGAACTGACCTGAATCTAGCTTTTCGGCATTCATCACAGTTATCTCCGTTTTCTTCCGACTCAGACTGACAACCTTGTCAATCGTAAACAAGATGGCAGGAACGATGAAGTATACATAGAAGAAAGGTTTCTGGACGATGAGGGAGGCGCCATGAATGATAGTGAGGATATAGAGAACGGCGATTAACTTGTGAGTCAACCAAAATCCGTTAAAGATCAATTGTCTAGCTGTCTGGGTCGCGAACACGTATATAATACAGATGAGGATGACTAACAAAACTCCGGTAAAACCTACACGGAAAAACACATAAAATGTTAGTTAGTTTTTATTAGAAGTCAAACTCAAATATTTCTAATATATCACATAGGCCAAAGTCGTTATCTAGTTTAATTATAGTTTATTTCTGTCTTTTGCTATTGTCTATTTTAAATTCAATTTATAGAATATCCTATGAAAACTTATTAATGGACTCAAGAACATCAAATGTTTTTCTTTATTGAGCGACATACCTTAATGATACACCACCAACAACAATATCACATTGTCCTGTTACAGGTAACGACAGGGCATTATATGTTAGTCAATTTGTCTTGTGCAAGGACCTCTGAACTCATCTATTATACAATTATGAGGTTTTGTTGATGAGAAAACGAAAAAGAAAAAAGGTGAAAAAGTAAAGAAAAGATAAACATTCCAAGGGTTATGATCTTCAGAAGACACAAAAGAAATGCCCGGATTTTTCTGGTGGTCACTTCATAGAATATGCTTTGGAATACATCAGAAAGTTTCTTCCCAAACATGCAAGACTTTTATTCTAGTGAGAGTGTCTAAACACAAACATGGTATTTTATGTATATCTCAGCATTATAACTTACCTGTCATATTTCCGAACAACCAGAACACGAATCCTACTTGTGAATCGGCTCTGTAAGGGGAAAAATAATCGATAATCACACACCAAAAATCGCTTATTTGGGAAAAACCAAACAGAAAAAAATGCCATAGTGTCACAACACGAGGTCTGTTAAAGTCGGAGATAATTAATAGGAAAGCTGTTCTTTAAGAATTTATAAACCAATAAAAAATCTTATAATCAAAGACACAGCGATGAGATTTGTTTTCCAGTCAAAAAAAGCATTTTATTACTACGTCATCTTTAATTTTCAAGTGCGGCTTGAATACTCTGATAGAAAACCATCGCTAATTATTTAATTAATCAACAGGAAAGATATGCCCAAACAATTTTGATACATAAACTGTGGCATGTTAATTCCAGAACCAGGGGAGCCTATGATGTTACTCTTAATAAAAGGAAAGTTAACTATCATGAAAACCAAAGTAGTGATGCTTGTTAGATAAAACCTTCCATATATCAGTTATCTCCCCTACCTAAGGACGATGGAGTCGAAGATACACAGATGTCCGGTTGGCTGTGTGGCGAGTTGGTAGAAATTGAAACTATAGCCCAAGACGTGCAGTCCTGTAAAAAACACAGTATTATTGTCAAGGATATATGCTATGTTACTGAGATATCAATCTCCTTTGCAAAATAAATCTGTAATTTAAACTTGATTAAATATCAGTGATTGACTAGGCGTTTGACAAGTATACACGACTTCATTAATTGATACCATTCTAAATCTTTAAAAAAAAATCCTGGGGAAATACATTCAGCACAATTCAAGAAAATAATGTGGAAGGAAGCATAATACTACATATAATTATTGTATTATTATATATAATTCGATGGAAATTATCCCTTTGACAAAAAAAAAAAAATGAATAAGAAAAGTAATCTCAAAAAAGATAAATGATCTTCCTCCATTATACAATGAAACACAGCTCGAAACTTTTGTGTTATTTTACAGAAATTGTATCGATTTGAACAATACTGATTGAAAGGAATTGACAGAAAAATAGAATTTTTCAAATATCAGAACCAACACAGTTATTAGTAATGTGACAAGTTTACTTGTGTTTCAAGAAATTACAACTGAACAGTTTCTAGGCGGAAAGTAAATGAACACACGTCACCCTTTTATGTCTCACACAACTGTTCTTTAGATAATTAGCTACCCGAATGACGGTCATAGTATGCTGACTACATAGAAACAAGGCTAGAGAACAAACATACACTGTAAATCATTCATCAAACTCACCCGTGAAGAACAGTGCTGTCCATGCCACGACTTTGTGGAATGCTACGTGTGAATCAAATGGAACATACAAATTTAGGAATGTGCCGCGTAACCATGTGATCATGTTTCGGCACATTGTCAACAGCAACAGCGAAAATGTGAAGGACATTCCGGCCGCTGCTCCTCTGGTAACGCTGATTCCATAACTCATCAAAGCTCTCAGTCCACTGTGCTCCCGCTCAACAGTGTAGTCTGAAAAGGTAAATGGAAAATATCTGATTGAAAATGAACTTTGTATCTGTTTTAACATGATGCAAACAAGGTTTGACCCAATTTTCACAGTACTGCACAAAGCCTGATTTGGATTGTCGTTTATCATGAGCAAGGGAGATAGCATTTTTTTCTGTAGGATTGAATCATGTTTTTGGTTTATGCTTTTTATTTATTTCTCCAGCAAACGTGATAAAATGTTCAAGAAGTGTATGACTAAGACTGTAATGGAACAATACAACAAAACATTCATTTTGTTCTATCGCATCAATTCAATCTGAACAGATATGGCGAATTTTAATTTTACAGACGGCTCAGTGACCGCTCTGATTGGTCAATCGAACAATCGGACTAAATGAATATTTAAAGTTGAAATAATTCAATACCCCCCTTTTCTGCTGAGGCTAAATAATCACACGTATCACAATTTATCAAAACGATCTTAAGTAATTTTCCAACTCAATGAAACCGTCACTTCAAGAACTACTTACAATAGAATCGTTCAGCAAATAGTCCCCAGCATATACCATAAAACAATACAAGGAAGAAAATATTCTGTCTGTTGTTTTCTATAAAATGTTTCAGATTCTTGATCTTAGCCTTGAGCGGATGGTACTTTTCCCTGGTGGCCTCGAAGCGCGTGCGGAGTTCTGTCGGGATGTTGGCCATTAGTGAGTTACTGCTGGGGGTCTTTGTCAACACCTCATCAATACTAGCACTGCTCTTCCGGCGGGTGTCCAAAGGAATGGAAGACTTCCTTCTTGTGTCCGTGCTAGAAATGACCATTGCACATATGCTCGAAATATCTCACTTTCTAATCAGTAAACGAAACTTAAGAGCAGAAGCCTAGTACAGTTTTATTTATGTATATATTCAATTATATACTTGTCAAAATTGATAAAGTGTGCGACACAAACAATTATATTCATTATGTTAAGAATATATTTAAACATCATGTTCATTGAATCAGTAAACGTACTGTACCAATAATATTGGGATATATATACCATTTAAGAAATGCATTATTATTAGATGTACCAATTTGTTATTTTACAAACTTATTGCAAACAAACATATATTTCCTTTTCGATCAAATATGTGACATTTCCAAGTAAAATCAATCACATGGTTTTCTTTTACAGTGAAACAAATACATGTATTTCAACAGAAAGAAGTAGACATTTATACAGATGAGATTTCTCCTAGAAACGTGTATAACATACCTTTTACGTCGATCCTGTGGGGTCGGGTAACAATTTTTCCGCCCTACGTCGAACAATTGCAATAACATATTCCCAGATTATTTAAATCTGATGGGTGCACAAATGGCATACTGTGTATTTATAAAAACAAACAGTTATAATTCAGTATACACATTAAATGGTAAAGGTTTTATTGTGATCCACATAAACTCACATCCATATAATTGTGGAACTGAAAACAACATTACAATTTGGTCCTTGCATCATATAGAGTATTATAGTCAATTGGTATATCCTTCTCTGGGGTTTTATAGAGTTGTATTGGCTCAAATATTGCCCTAAACAACACAGTGACGCCATGGGAAACCTAAACAATGCCATATAAATAAATGTACCTCTCCATTCCAGTCCTCCATTCCAGATTTTATCCATCTGAGGAGAGAGAATTTGACAGAAGTCGTCGAAGTTAAAACTAGTTTGCTCTTGTAAGCCGTTCTGACTGCACATAGATTCCACCAAGCTGATGACTTCCTCCTTCCCCAAGTTGCTGTTTGCCATTTCTAACACCGAGCTTAATAATAAGACATTGGAACCATTTATTGTAAGGAAACAGTAGCTGTAAAGCTTGTAAAGCTTTTATATATCAACACGAACGTTTTAGAGACATTTTGTAGTATGTCAAGTATCAATAACACATGATTATTATGCAGTCGGATATCATAACTTCATATGGTTTCGGATAATACAATATTTTGGTAACACTAAAACGGACTAAAGTGTCTATATATAACTCATTAATTTCTACATTGTATTTTGCGTTTATGTCGTAGCAACAGCATGTCGTCAAAACAAAAAAGAATTTGAAATTTTCCAATTTTTTTTAATAATACACATTAAATATATTTTAACTTATTTCATCTTTAAGATGAATGTTTGACATTGTATCAATACACAATGTGATGAGGTCACCTGTGTTACACAACTACAAATGTCACTTTCGTCAATACGTCAAAACATACAAAATGTAAATTTATGTTAATGACGATTAACACTTACTTAAACATTTTGATGAGCCCAGATTTGTCCAAAGAACCCGCAGAATCAGTGTCAAACATGCGGAATACCAGTTGTAACTTGTCTTGACAGGAACCTGTAATAAGTGTGTACTTAATAAGCTACACTTTAACTCATTATTACATAGTGTATTCACTTCCTGACATACACCATACTGATATTAAAATGGTGTTCCTTTTATGATGTTTAATTAGCATAACTCTAAATTGTCATCCATTAACAGTATATTGTACAGGTTTGTTTATGAATCTCTTTCAGAGATTTGAATCTCAGTAAGGTAGTATTTATTCTCCAAAAAAACAATATAACTTGTTTATCTCGTTAAAAGGACAATTCGAAGATATTCGTGTTACCCTGCAAGTATTGTTGAGAAAGCTACTTGAGAAATGTAACATAATGACAACATAATTAAAACAAAATGTAGGAGACACATATCAAGATCTTCTTCAATGGTAATTTGGATTGAATACGGTTACAATGAATTGTTGATATATAGATAAATAAAATAGACGTTTAATTATAAACAACATGAAAATTTCAAACCCTCACAGTGAATAAGTTCTAAAATTTCCGTTAAAAAATGTCCGTTTGAGATTTGAACATGTTAGATTAATAGATTTTTAAAAGTCCTAATATCACATAGAGAATAGAATAGATGTATTGCAGACTAAATTTTCTCAGTAATCTCCATTCAAACAGCTGGATTTCAGGACATTTTGGTTAAGGGAAAAGCCAGTGCATCCCCCAAAAGTAATTTCTGAATGGTGAGACAGTATAATTGATTGTGGGTCCCAACTTATATGATAGTAATCACTCTTATTTTTATTTGCTAGAGATAAATCAAACAGACGTTGCATTATGGCTTGTTAATTTGAAATAATTACACTTAATATGTATACCATATAAATTCCGCCTACCTTTTGAAAAAAGAACTACTGCAGTAAGGAAATTCCTGTAGGAAATGTACCCGTTTCTGTCAGAGTCCAATAGACTGAACATGTTCTCAACAAAGTCCGACTTTGGTTTGATACCTAAGGCGTGCGCAAATTCTTCCTGGTGAAAAATAAAGAAATATAAAAATAAGTTGTCTCAAATAAAAGGGTATTTAGAGGTGATGTAATGAAAGTGATTGTTGTGTATAACTGTATCTTTTAAATAGGAAGTTCTGGCTTCATCGATTCTATATGTCATAAGGATAGTTATAGAAGAATTGACGGTATGAAAAAATTATGAACACAACACATTAATGAAGGAATGATGTCCCTTACTTCTATCACACTCTATTACAGTGTTTCTGACATAATAAACAAATAAATGAGTTCCTTAGCATACTAATTCCTATACAGACACCCAGCCTACCCATCTTTAAATATGTGATACTAGTATTTGTGTCTGTGTTTTAAATTGTGTGTTTCGTTATATTATAAAGCCGTGTCGATTTTTGTTAATCGCGTTACGTCTTAGAAACACTTATTAGTACAGGAGAGATTATGCAGGGTTGAATTGACAATTGCACGATTGTTGAGGTCAGTCCTTAGTTTTAACTTCATTAGACATATGCACTGTCTTGAATCGCCGTACAGGAAAAATCTCCAAAAGACCTAAGTAAAGTACTTTTGAGAAATCCACAGTAAAGTTTAAAGAATGTTTTTTGAAGTATACCTTTGATAGTTCAATTTCCAATATTTCTGCTGTCGTTTGGGTAGACTCGCCTTCACTGTCTTCTAAGTCTGGGTCATAATCCATTTGGAAAGCCTAATAATGGTTAAAAGGAGGAAGGATGTTTTCTATATTTTCTACCCAAATGTAATATAGAGTGCAATATTATTAATTTATGTCAAAGGTTATTCCATCATTGAAATGTAAATATATCTTATTCTTTCTCTTCATCATGATAAGGATGATGTAAGTTACAAAGAAAAACGAATCGAAACCAAAATTTCAATTAAATATTATTGATCAATTAAATGCCCTCTTGCATTGAATTAATCCTTTGCTGTTGGCACTTTGTATAAATTTTCCATATCATGTGATTTAAGTTTGATAACAATTTTATATGTATAATTAGAGCAATCACCTCTGAGAAAACAGTTTTGAAGAATTTCTCCAATACTGCGTTCCTCTTGATTTGTGTGAAGGTATTGTTGTGGATAAGCTTTAATTTGACCTCGTGAATGATGGCTTGTCGACTGTTTTTCTCCAACAAGGAGCAGAGAGCATTCTCAAACAAATCACGCTGTGCATAGGATGGGAATTGCAAACACTGAAAATGGTACGAGATACAAATGTAAGCATATAACCTCAAATTGTCCTTATGGTAGTTGATGGACATTTAATATATGCAACCAGATATATCATTTTTGCGAATACTAATTCTTTTAAAAGACATTTCGCACTAATTTATATTCATGAAAGGAACAAACATTGCGTTATCTTTATCAACAATAGCCTGTTAAATATACATGTATTGATCTTTCAATTATAATAGTCCTACGAGTACATGCAAAATAGTACGTAGATGTTTATTGCACTGTTTTTAATTTATAAAGTGTATATCTAGCGACGTTTTCAAGTACTTTCAAAATAGTGATAAAAAACATGCATATGTCTTTTTATTGTCTTTAAATATCAGCTGAAATACAGCACAGTAAAGCGATTTTACCATATCATACTCCTTTGGAACTTTGATCATCAGAGTTGTCCTCCCCTTGTTTGTACTATTGTAGATTTCCATATCAGATGAATGGCAGAGACCTAGAGTCCGAAGTCGAGTGCCACGATTGCTGGTCAACTCTACTGTGCATTTTGGCTTAAGGATGATAACCACTGGACGTGTGGACACCTTTTCCCCTAGCCATTCCAAGGCGTTAAACGACTGCAACTCTAACAGATATAGAATACGTTAGTACAACACCATATCATAGTAGATTCTGAGACAATATATACAAATAGGAGTTTAATATGGTATTAGATAGAATGTACTCCTTCGACTCAGGAATTAGTCGAATGATCAGAGTCACGGTTGTATATTTAAAGTAGGTCAATATGCTTTTTTTTCTTTGTAAAATAGTATTTTTAAACAAAAAAACATTAAAAAAAAGTTACTTATTATCAATAAAATTCTTTTCTGCGAGTAATATCCCTTTAGGAATTTTATTGATAACAAGTAACTTAATAAACACAAAAAGACAATTCAATAAGTTAATATGTAAATAAATACGATATGTTAATACACATTCTATTCATACAAATTATCGCATTCCGTACGCTTATATTCTTACTAAATTGCATACAACTTGGTAAATTAATATTGCATCAATCCGGATTGTGATTCACATGCGAAAATGAATACACAATATGGCCTACCTTTTGAGCGAGACTCCGCGTCTCTGTTAGTCGCCTGCCTGTTCATCTGTTGGCGTCTTACATGTTTATTGTGTCTCCAGGTTCGACATCTTGCGGCAATATAGGCCGACAGTACGCATACTTAAAAGATACAACACTTTACTGTTTACTTTATATCCTGTTTATGCTGATGTCGGTTCTAACCTGACATTACCAAAGGTACACGTTTCATATCAATATAATCAAATTATTGGAAAACGTACACATGTATATACTTATATGTCATGTATAAATCAGTTCATTGATTAATAGCCTAATAATAGCAATGTCCTTCTTACAAAAAATATGTGTGAGCTAACTTGTCAAAATAACTTTACATACACATGTATATACTTATATGTCATGTATAACACAGTTCATTAATTAATAGCCTAATAATAGCAATGTCCTTCTTACAAAAGATGTGTGTGAGCTAACTTGTAAAAATAACTTTACATACACATGTATATACATACTATACACATATCCCACCGTCATTCAGAAAGTAGAATGTCCAACAATCAAATTCAAAACAAGGATAGGGGGCAAAACTAGATTGTGATAGGATACATTTATAAAAACAGGGGGATGGATGTCACTTTCATATATACTTTCGTATTTATTTCTCACTTCAAAACACCTACTTAGCGGTATTAATCCAAAGCATGCCCATATGATGATAAAACTGATTTCACTCCCGGCAAAATAGTCGTATCCTTTGTGTCCTGTACAAGGTTCCATCATACCAACATCTACATACACAGCTGGACAGGCGGAGGCTGTAATATAGCAAGGGAAATTATCCATAACCGGTTATTATCAGTGTTGAACGTACACATCACTCTAAACAGTCATCGTAGATAAAATAAAGCGTAGATATTGTTATATGACCGTGTAAACAGGAAGCAGTAGCTCCATTAATTGCTACATATATATACAAATATATATCTGTGTATTTTCAGAAAAAACAATCAACAATAATATCAATACTTTTAAAAGAAAACATGAAACACTTAAAATGAACACTGGACTCTAAATCCTGAAATCTTAAAAAGAGCATAAAATGATACGTACCATTTACAGTGAACACGTCCTCCTGTAAATCATCTTTTGCAATTTGTGTTGACTTAACGATGACGTCATGAAGTGTTATGTTCCTTATCTCTGCTATTTCGGCAGTTGTGAATAGCCTATATGTAAATAAACAAAGAGGAATGTATAAAGATTATAAAATCTTTTTCAGCAAAATCTTTTTCAGAACATTATACACTTCAAAACAAGTTTTAGGTTTATTTTATATTTGAAATATAGCCGTCTATTCCTATAGTAGTTTTTCTGTGGTCACAATGAGCATAATGATATCCATGATATTGTAAGATCACAACCATAGATAATGCCCACTTTCATTTGATTATGTTTTGAATTTTCTTTTGAGAAACATAATCAACAATGCCTTTACTAATTCATTGAGTTAATCATAGCAGTAACAGATTTTATTGGAATAAAAGAAAGTTTCAGTATAAAATATTTTTTATTATCGGCTTCCGTAGAAACGACATTCTCTTCTCTACTCGTTATCTAAATTAATAACATTTAGAGGACTTTTAGTATTTCATTGTCACTGAACAAATACAAAATTACAGTGCCTTACATTGAGTCTTTATTTTCGAACCAAAAACGGTCTCCAGCCCTGATCCGGGTGAACTGGTCTGCAAGAATGGCTGTGAATAGCTCTCCTGGTCCCTCTGATGTTGTCTCCAACATACCGCCAACGAAAGGATCGATCATATTCACGTCGCCATATAACTTCATCAACGACTCGAATACCTGTTATATAGAATGTACCATTTTAATCATTCGAATTGATGTCACATTCAATATGTTCATATATCAGCAACGACCCGATTATTTTTAATATCAAAATAAATTTTCTATTTGTCGATGCTTAAAGCAAAGTAATAGTTTATTGATATGACCATCAGCGTAACGAACAATACGCTCTTTAATCCCTCAATCTTATATTTATACACATGAGAAATGGGGTTCCTACATATCAAACTAATCAATAGCATACACGTTTAATAAGGATGAAAACAATGAGGAGGATGTATTTACTTCGGGATTCGTTCTATTTAGTGCGGGATTGATTTCGCCCCATTCTGTGATTTGTCTCATTCCAATTTCCTTCCTGACGGTGTTATAGTCAGGTAGACCGTAGTCTCGTCCTCTCATAATTGTTTGTGCAACGTGGTCTTGTCGCGAATAATGCAGGGGACCGAACCATTTACCTATAAGAAAGAAATGTTATCGTATATTTTCTATGTATGAACAAAAAACAGCACATTGTTATTTCTTTAAATTATAAGTATCAGGGTGACAATGATATTTATTTCCAACAGTTAATGTGGAATATCTATTTATCTGTAACAATATATTGCTATGATACATGTATGCTTGTCTGTTTGCAATAAATGACATCCTGTATAAGTTATGTAGTATTATTGTTTACATAATAACGCAGTGCTTTTAGTTAAAGAAATTATATCTCCATATCAAAATGTAAAACAACGGGAGAAAAATATAATTAAAATAAATTATCTATTAACCTGTGTAGTCGACTAGTCCGTTACGAAATGAATGCAGATGCCCCAAAAAGTCTTGCTAATAATAATATAGTTAAATCATATAGAAAAAATGCAAAACCTTACTTTGGATATCTTCCACGATTTGAATGTCTTCTCGCTCGCTTAACTGATTCGCAAGACCGAGTAAAGTTTCCTCTATGCCATCCTCACGTTCAAGAAGGATGTTCTATAATGTTCAAAAACAAAGCAATAATTGATTTATATCAACGTTTTTTATGACACTCTTGCATGCATTTATATCTTTAATGGCCTGGACAATTCGTTTATATCATTTATCATTGAATACACAACGAGCGGTTTTTTATACGCTTAAAACCTATTTCATTCATGCTTTTTAAAGCATGTGATACATAAAACAATAAAATATACGATACAAAATAACAAGTCCATTATTAAAATGTATCAAATTTTCTCCAAACAGCATTGTATTTACTGTAGCATGTTTTAAAAACAAACCTGGGATTCAAAGTAGGTATTACACAGTCGTAGAGCTTTCGGGCCCAAATGGGAGTCGATGTGATCACAGCTGCCCACTCTCCTGTAAAACAAATTATTGATTGTTACGATAGGAAGGTGTTTCCTTTAAAATATCTCAATGGTTCATGTTGTTATGTGACCTCTTATATATATCGTTTCGCTGTTTAGTATTACTTGAATTTCTGTTTGTGTTATGAAAGACGTCTTTTGTGTTTCTCTGCTGCAGCGTTATTTATATAAAACAACTTTACCTGAAAAGTAAATATTGTTGTTTATGCTTGAACCTTTTTTTTTTTAATGTAGCAAATCATTAAAACTTAAAAAAAGAAAACAAAACAGACAGTATTCACACTACACAGTTTAGGTAAAGAATGAAGGTCAGATGAGATTAAATCCAACCAAAAGTAAATAAATAAAATTATATAGGGCGATATATACATTTGTAAATTAAATAATTACCGTTGATGAATTCCAGCAGGTATCAAGGTCATAATATATCTAAGCGCTAAAGCATCAAACACCGCTGTTATACCCGGTTCTGTGGACGACTTGTAGCCTAGAATACATGATAGATGCGCATCATTACTAAATCAGTCTTCCAATATATAGTTTTAAATTGTTATAATTGATCATGGGCTTCGTGTATACTTTTTGTTTATATCTAAGTTGAAATTAAATAGGATCTGACGTCAGAAATTAAGCTAGCATTTTTATTGACTCTACGTAATACACTATACTATGGGGGAAAATGTTTTGGTTTTTTTTATCTGTTAGGATGTATCATGCTCTATATATTCACCTTGGTATGGCGGTAATTTCGTTTTCATTAGCTTCGGTAACCATTCATAGACAATGATATTCTGAAAAATTATACATAAAAACACAAGATGACGAGTGAAATGAGTTTTGAAAGACGTATTACTGCAAGATCATTTGTACCTTTAATACATTCATCCCACTGTACAAGGAGAATGTACATTCACGAGTACATCTTACAGTGTAAATAGAAAGAAAACATACTAACAAATTTATATAGTTTCATATAATAATGCAACCTTTACGTGTTCATATACATAAGGTAAACGTCAATTTCCATGTTTGTGAACGTATTGGGGTTCACGTTCTCGTCGTTATCACCCGTTAAATATTTAATCAAACGAAACTAGGGTAACGCTTCTCAACACTTAAATGTTAAATTACAGGAATTTTCCTGACTGCATCTGAATGCTAAGCCAGTAATAAATGAGTTTGATTTTATTGACGGTAATGTTTTATTGCGTAAATCATGAATTTTCGTTTCTATGAATGCTGGGTTAACTTTAAAATATGACACGACAAGATATTTAGGAAGATTTAGCTTACCTGTAGACTGGCAATAACCCATTTTCTAGATTTAGCAAAAAGATCAGCTTGTGAAAGATTTTCTTGATCTTCATGGATAAATTTTTTGGCAAGGTAGTTATGCCATCTATAGAATAAAACGCCAAGGGAGAGAACTGCAGGGTTCTCATGGACGTGTTTATCACCCAACTCTGAAAAGAGGTAAGTTTGCGTAATTTGATTAAAATGTTACATATATAGATCAAATAATGTTGATTATTGAACAGATATTTACATGTAATTATAAGATTAATTGCTGTTACGGACAAAATTGCAAATATCCCTCATCGAATATTTATAATGTTCTAATATTTACCGTAGTTTTGTTTCAAAATTATGCATAAAAATCAAAGTACCAAATACTATGTTTTCTAACGGTAAAAAATGTATATTTGATTCTGTTACTTCAATATTCCAAACGGAGCATGACTCACAGCAATTAAGACCAAATTTCACCAGATGACAATCAGTAGAATACACGTATATATTTTAGACCTGCTCACAAAAAATATCTCAAAGTGTTAGGAAATGTTTATATAAATGAAAAGAATCACATTACTCACTCCATAGTTTAAGCGGATTAGCTATTTTATGGGATACAGATGGATACGCATCGTACGGTACTCCAATATCATTCATTTCCGGATATTTTCTCCACTTGTCACCTGATGCTAGATACGCTGTTTTGTCCTCACGAAGAAAAGCAGCCCGGACCGTATTGGTACCGTATACAAACCCGGCGTCTATATAGCTGGTGGCTGCGTTCAACTGCAATGAAAACAATTGTTCTGTTATAGTTTTAACTGACTACTGATTGAATTTTAACATTTTTTGTGTGTAGTTGATATTTTAATATAGACATTTTCGCTATGCATTTACCTCTTCAGGAGAGTTTTCTGTTAAGTGGAAAATGTCATTGTAATAAAAAAGCTAAATGCAGAAGCATTCTGGACGTTATATATAATTCAATTATTATTATTATGACGTCAAAGTCGACTGATGTAAGTATCGATAATGTGATTAACAATACAAAAATACAGAAGATAGCATATCCCCGATTCAGCAAACAGAAAATACGAAACACAATAGCACGAACAACCGTTTAAAATCAGTTCGCTCTAAATTAAATGCAGACCATACCGTTCAGTTTTCAATATTAACTAACATTTTGGTTTCCTTTCTAAAACATCATATGAACATATATCGTATTAAGGGATAACCTGAATGTTATGGTTGAACAATTATCAATATATAAATATATGTTTAATTACAGTGCTAACTGTAAAATAAAACAGAGTTAGAGTAACCCCCATTATAAATAAATCTTATCCATTCATGGTGATAGGGTATATCCACGTTTATCGATTCGGTTGACGGGAAGAGTTAAGGGTCTGTCCTCGGAAAGTAATTCTTCCCTTTCGACGGAAGTGTCTATTCATTGTCAGAAAATCTTTACTTTTGACAGATACGCTAAGGGGTCTGTAAATAAATCTTCATTACTTCTGTAAGTAAATCTAAACGTAAAAAAAATCTTTTCTATATAAATCTTAACTATTGACGGGTAGAGTTAGGGGTATGTCCAGTGTAAATAAATTGACATGTTTACGGCTAGTGTTAAGGGACTCTCCTCTATAAGTGAATATTTAGTATCAAAGGGAAGAGTCCAGGATCTGCCCACAGTTAGTATATTTTACCTGTTGAAGAAGTGAATTAGGTGTCTGCCCACAGTTAGTATATTTTACCTGTTGACGAGGTGAATTAGGTGTCTGACCACTGTTTTTATCATATGCTGCTCTTTCATATGGCATAGACATAGTGCCGGAACATTGTGGATCGTAATCCGGGTCACACCTTGGTACAGGGATTGACAAGAGCTCAGCTGGACACGTCGTATCGTCTACATCCGTGAGTTCAAAGTCTACCAACTGACCTGTAAAATCAACGCTTTGTTAAAATAAACAACAACGAGGGTTTGGGATATTTTTCATTTATTCCGTATTATCTTATCAAATCTGAATGTTTCTCAAGTTAAGTTCCCTTGTTATGATTTGTATATCTATACAAAAATAGATTGAACGTGAATGTATGCTATAAGACATTTGACAAAAACAGTAAGTAATGTGATTTTAAGGTGTATTATTCTCAATATCATCCATGTTTTATTTTTCGTATATGTATCATATTTGTAGTAGCAAGAGGGTATATTATAATTTTAGATCCCTCTTTCAGACGATATCAGAAAAAGGCACAGTGCATGTCGTTGCTAGTATTAAGATAATAAATACACGGAGTGACATGAAGAGTTAATACTTACCAAAGAATGCGAAGAGTGCTGATCTGTTTAAGAACGAACCCCCGGAGTCTAGAGACATATTCTGTCTAAACAATGTATTGCTGATTACTCTGGCACTTGGAAGACCGTTACTGGGAACCTTGTACGTGAAGTCGGTATACGCTGTTGTTATGTTGTGAATGAGGGGCTCCCCTTAATGAAATACAAGTTGTGACATAGTTCAATAACATGCTATTATCTCGGATACTTTATTTTTACGTGTTTGTATTCTGTAAGTAATAATAATGTGTATACTCGGAAGTTATATTTATATATGGCCGTTTGCTAATTTGTGTTTGTGTGTTTTTTCATTTAAAAATCAGATTGAAAAGTAATGCTTGACATTTTACAGCGGGTACAATTTCAACGTACTGATAGCCTGCCGTTTTAGATTATATTTATATACATATGGCATATATTACCTGCTCCGCCCCAGTTTATATGAGCAAAATTATTGTACCAGCCATCAATCCTCTGAACTAGTGAACTCTCTGTAAAATATAAACATAGTCCAAATTATAGATACAATCAATCGTTTGCTAAACGTTACGTTAAAACACCGTAAATAAATAGTATATTCCATGTTTTAAGGGTCCTTTCAACACCATCTGGATCAGATCGTAAAACACATTTCAGTAATACAGTATTTCAGCTTTAACCTATTTGCCTTGGCTATCTAACCCGAGAACATGAGACATGAGAAACAATTGATGATGACTGAGGTAAAAAAATGATTACTTGACACCTGCTATTAATTGAAAAGTATAAATGATAAATGATAATACAATTTAAGTGATATCATTCCCTATAAAGGAGCTATGAGGTGCGGCAGTCGGGTAGACATATAAACTACAGACCATACAGCCACATGCGTTAATACCGTTAGTGCACGTGGAGTGTTTTATCACGTTGAGAAATATGCTTATAATCACGGACCGTTTGTACGGTCGTAAAGTCCAACGACCGTTGTAAAACTGTTTAACTATACTATCATTCATATTAAGAAAATTAATTATGAAATTTAAAAAAACCATCAACGACAAAGTTTGTAATTATGAGTTCCATGGAAGTTAAACGAACACCTATAACACAAATAATGTAATGAAAAGGAACATGTAATAAACCACTTACCTGCAAAATGGGAATGGCACTCGTGTAGAAGAAAAAATAGAATGAAGTGATACACATTCATCGTTACAAATGTGTCGGTTTGGTTCCCTACTTTAAATATATATATTTAGTCTGCAGTGTCGTCTTTGCGTTTGCATCTCGTCCGGTGTAGTGTGCCACACAGAATGTGAACTTGTCTAGGTATGTTGTCTGTTTTAACAGGTACAATGCGGATACGATCCTGACGCACTCGGTTTTGACCTGGAATAAATACAGACGTGGAGTTCGTCATACAGGTAAACTAAACAGGTAAGCTATATAGATATGTTGAATATCCGCATACTAAGGCCATGCTCTCATAAAAAGGTGTGATGATAAGTTAGTGATTGACAGCAGGGATATTCCTGTATCCCTATATATATAACGATTCATGCATCAGTGTTGTAAATTTTGTCGACAGAGAGTTGTCCAAACTATTGTTATTTACAATATGTATTTTTTTAAACAAACGTTATGATAAATTATTATTCTAATATGTACACCACATATTAATGTCTTTTGGTTGTAAATGTAAAACGTTTCATTTTGATGAAAGCGTGAATTTACTTTTCTTGATTTGATACGATAAAGATGCCCCTTCTGTTTCATCAGTATAAGGATCAAACACACCTTTGTTTTAACCTGAAGGTGTTGCTAATTAGGTCATATAGTACAAACAAACCCGGATAATGATAGGAACGATGAAAACAATGTTTTTAGGAAAACAAATACATTATTGAAATGTGCTTTTGATATATATTGCGTTATGGGGAATTTTGTGCAGTGATTTGTTGAAATTAAAAAAGATAAGTATTTTATTCAGAATGGATGAGATTTATTAAAATGACTTTTACAAAGATTTGGGTCTATGGGTGACTTTTTCAAAACGGATGCAAAATGATCTATGTGCATGTTATGGGAGAATACTAACATAAGGTAAAACTGATTTCCTGAATTATATACTCATTTCTCTTTGTTATATTTACAAACGGACAGATGAACGGTTGTCGTGATAGATTGATTACTATCGGATTCCTTTATGTACACCGTATCTATATTTCCAGTAGTGTAGCTCCATGACCATCATTATGGTTATTCAGGAATCCATAGTTGTTTTGGCAATCGTAAAAAACAGAAAATTGGAGATATACCAATCTGACTATAATTATGGAATTGTATTTACCTTATTGGTCGATTTCCATGTTAACAGAGTTCGTTCAATAAACTTACACTGCGTAAGTGCTGCACATACAATAATATACCTATGTAAGCTATCTGATGTAGGCCTTCTACATAGGCTCAAGCTGTCAAGTCGGCATTATATTTTCTAAACTTTACAAGTCTTCTTGATTCAAAATGTGTTCAATTAAAACGCAATACTACAGTAGTGATGATATGCTTACGTCAGATATGAGGTGATTTATCAGTGTAACAACATAGGTATAATATCAGTAACTTTCTGTTGGCATTCTCACATCGATCTGGGCCCAGTTGTTCTAAAGTTGATTAGCTTAATCATTGTTTAACGACATATTTTAACCTCTAATAATTTGGTCAATATTCAAGATAAAAGCTTGTAATTTTGCATGCAGTTTACTCTTCTGAAATATTTGCTGTCAGTTTTAATCTGTTAATAGCTTTGTTTTAAAGTTACACAAAAATAAAATTTGCGCTTATCACTATTTGTACAACTGGGCCTTGACATATCAACTAAAGGTAACTATAAACAGAAACCAGGAAGATGTTACTTCGTGGTCAATTTAAATCAAGATATCGATTTCAATAGGCATGACAAACTGATGAGCTGATGTACTATAACAGCTAATTTAATATTAAAATTTAAATCCTATCAGTAAGTCAGAATTTGTTTTTCATTTCAATATTGAACATCTGTAATGTATTGGTAGCTGAGTCACGTTAAGACTTCAGATGGTAAATGTCAAACTTTTTACAGAAATAAAAATCAAAAATAATAGTCAGTGTAAATATAAAAGTACTTTTAACGCCATTTTGTCAGGATAAATTATTAAGTGATAATGAATACTTGTAAAGCAGTATCGTTCAAAAGATCTTTCGAATCTATCATTTTTACGAAATATCGTATATGATTGGATGGCTGTGTGTCCTTGTTATAAACATAACGATATGTCAATAATTCAAAAAGGATCACTTAGAAAAAGTCAAAACTGCACTTTAATATTCAACACTTTTCTCAAATCTCTTGTTGATATGATTTTTCAAATTGTGATCAAGGTGATGCGTTAACGTACTTTAGCAGGCAATGTCAAGGACACTAGATTTGTCAAAATGAAAGGGTAGTTGTGCATTAAAACGAATAATTGAAACAAATCGATTTTAAACCAACCAAAACCATAGGAGTAAAATATGATTGATGGCACAGGTAAACGACCAACATGAAATTAGCTTTAAAATATATGTTATCCTATTTCATATATCAGTAAATATATAATTACAAGCGCCTTAAATAGAGTACATCCTCGTTTCAGCGTTTCCTTGTTGGACAGTCTGTATGAAGATTAAGTTTGATTAATGATTGATGCTGATTGGTATTCTTATAACTTTCGTCGTGACTATCATCCTGAGAACTTACACTGTAAACAACGTTTAAATGTGTGTGCTATTAACATACTCAAGGTTTGCTGTAGCCTTGATGGCCACAGTTATGTCGTTTGAGTGGTGGTATGGTACATACTAAACACACTTTAAATATTATCTAATCTAATTAGCCAGTACCCCTCTCTTACTTTAATTCACAATTAATAGGTATTACGCACCTGTCCCTCTGTTTCAACAGTAGTTTAAACTATTTGGATTGCCACCTTTTTGGTCCCTTACATCACCGATGAGTCCCTGAAAGACGACACAGCTGTATGATGCTGTGTAAGTTATTTTTAGCTCATTGTATCTTTTATCAAATGTTATAGGTGTAGTCACGTGTGTGTGTGTTAGGTTCATCTTTTAAGTCACACGACAAGATTACAAGATTACAAGATTTCACTATGTAAAAAATATCTGTAAAAGACAAATAATAAATAGATAGATACTGTATAATTACGTCAATAAGATGCTAAGTAAATTCCATATGTACATAATAAGCTACCAAATACATAGACTCAAAACGCTTACATATCGTTAATTTCTTAATTTACTGCATGCATATTAAATCCATCGTAATTTGTCTGTGTTTTAAAACTAAATTCCTGGTACCCATTTTTTTTTCTTTCTTTAATATCATTTTTTCAATAAACAATTACAAAAACTTGGAAACAATGCATAATAGATTAATTAAAGCAATGTAAAAAAAAGTTATATCAGCGACACCGCGGGGATGACAACAAAAACAGTATTCAGGGGACAAAAGGCGTATTGTGCAAAACAATGACTCATGACGTTTCATTGGATCTGTACTATTCATAGTACTGGTACATAGAGGTTCAATTCATCTCTGAAATAACATTGTGGATATCTATAGTAGGGGTAAGATACTTTGCGACTTGAAATATGCGTATTTTGTCTTTTTTTAATTTTAATTTTTATTTAAAATATCTGTATATAGTAGTTGTAACATGCATTTTAATCTGCGGCGATAGTACGTGGAACGTCAGAAAAGGATGCCCACATCCAAGAAATACCTCAACAGTGATCAAAGTATGATGAACCGGTTAAGGTATCGTTATACCTGTTACGTTTAGAAAAAAAACTAGGTTTCTGTGGATAAGTCAATGTATTATTTATGTTTAAATATAACTTTAATGATATAATTGAACTCTAATTTGGTGTCTTTCATCAACTCATCTTTTTTAAAACATTAAAGTAAGATAATAATTGAAGTATCTGAGTTTCCTATAAATGAGTTGAAACACTGTCAAGGTCAGCCTTTTTTTTTGCAGTTGTAGATCATCCAGTTCCGAGGCCACTGCCCTAGCCTACTAAAAGGTATGTCAGGGTATGTGATACATTAATCCATGTCAAATAATTTATAGCATATCAAAAGATAAAATCAATATCTATATTTTTTCATCTTTTTGATGTGACATTTTTAACACACATACGTATCGATCTAGCGTTAAACTGTTTCATACAGTTATTAAGGTGAACGACTCCTGTGAGTAAACGTATATGTTGATATGGAAGAGCAATGGGGGTACCCAATTTATGTTGAAAACACTTTTATTACGATGGTATTCAATAGTTCCAATAATAAGCAAATTGGTGTTTAGTTCAGCTGTACATATATAGTGTAGTTGTTGACATCTGCTAGCAGTAAATGAACGTTCTAGTTGTCCCTTAAACATGTATGAATCAATGCTAGGTGTAGGCAACTCCTATCCTACATTCTATTAATTCCACACATAAGATGGTGTATTTTTTGTTAAATAATGTTTATTTTTAATTATAACATTATATTATAATAACGCAGTTCTTCTACGTTCACAATCATGTATGCACGTTACCTTATTATTGAGCCGCGTTTGGTATCATTTGTATATTCTTTATACACTTTTATGTTTTTCAGAAGGAGGTAAAGAATTTGTTCTTTCTTAGCAAGTTAAGCCATCAGTCACAATATTTAACACTACAAAGGTTTGCGACATAGGTGGAGAGGCATGTGACCGAACTGACAGTACTTTGAGACTACCCCAGGGAAGACTCAAATATGAAAAAGTTAAAAGCGAAGAATTAACAAAGATGATTTTAAGTAGAATATAAGAAAATAAAAACTGCTCATTACGGATAAATAAATGGTGGTCCCTTAAGACAGATGATTGCTTAGGGATGATATCTCGAACAGATTCCATTGTAAATCGTTTTGTCTCAATTGATGGAAACTGTGGTATCAAACTTATGATTTGGTCATTTTTAATAACGTACACTACGTTTGACATATTTTCTATATTAAATGGTCTATATTACAGTAGTCAGTATGAATACCGGTCCCCAACCGGTCACCGACCCTTTGATGTATATATGTATATATAAACAAATAAAAAATACATATTTCTGAAATAATTTTATCATCTGTCAATATATAAATGTAAATAATTTTAATGTTAAATTAATAAGAATCGATTTCGTATCGGATTAATTCCTAAACGTTTTAGTCTACGGCGTGTGAAATTAACCCTTTAGTGATACTGGAGTGTAAGGAAATGGATCGTAAAATCAACCCGACATTGATCGATAAAGGTTTACACAAAGTT